CCCATGTGAGAGACAGATGGAAAGCATAAGTAAGCTTGTCCTGATTCTGTTTATTTCCCTAAAGAAATGTAAATATGGGAACAGACTTTAGTGTTTTTTTTTTTTAATGTAGAGTCACCCTATATTTCTGCAATTGATTATTGCGGCACAAAACCCCTATTTGTATTTCTCCCTAGTAATACTGCCAGGGTGAGCTTTCTACATCACAGTTTGCTTTCAATTAATTGGCTATAACTCCTAATTCACTGTAAGAGCAAGAAAACTAGGCCTACCTGACACTTCTGGGACAAGTCAAAGGTAACAAAAGGACTGGGCGGTAATACAGAAAAGTGCCCTAGCTTTGAATTTCATGCCTTTTGGTTTCTTACAACAGAAGTTTCCAAAAAATAGTAGTTGGGAAAAGTTAAGACATTCTATTTACACGTTCATATGCTGTTAAAATACATGATTAAGCCCTATTCCTCTGGTAACGCGTGTCTTGCATCCACAGAGAGAATGTGGCTCCAACGGTCACATCCAAAAATCTTTAAAGTTTTTTTCTTAAAAAAAAAATAAGTTATTTTAGAACTGACAAATCACTTGCCAAATGGAAGCAGCTGTTAAACAGAAGCAGTTACTCAGTTATACAAGAGCAAGGAAAGCATCAGTCAATGAGCTTTAGAGGCTTGTATAACGAAGGAGACTTTTAAAAGCGTTACGAAATTCACCCTCAGGCTAATGTTTGTTTGCCAACTTTCAGCTTGCAGTGCATTAACACAAGTTTAAAGCTCTGGAGTTTCTCGTGACAACTGTCTCACCTATGGCAGGACAGTACACCCTCCGGTTCGCCTACGTGCAGTATATTAAGTTTCTGCCCAGGGGTCTTGGATGTTTATGCTTTGCTCCAGAATCACTGTAGTATTTTAGAGCGAATTCAGCATCGCTGTGCAGTCAGATCCCCGCCACCGAGAGGAAGGCAGTCCAGTGTGCAGGAAGCCGGCAGCCTGGCCAGCGCTCCCCTGCCTCGCCTCGGATACGCAGGTACACATTCACATTGGGTTTTGGGTCAGCAGTTGAGAGCCAGCGCTCTTCTGAGTAATGCTTTTGGTCAGCAAGCGGCTGCCGTGGCTCGGTGCACTCAGAAGCACGGTGCGCGTGCACGGCTGCCAAAACACTCGCCTCCGCGGGGGGCCTCGGGCCCGGCTGCAGAGCGAAGGTGGCCCAAGCAGAAAGGAAAACAGCTGGGAGAGCCTGTGCTCCAGGGCCACCCTGCCTCCCTAGTGACCACCCATGAGGTTACAAGTGTGACACAGCTGGCTGGCCATGCAGGTCCTAATGCTCAATGAAATAATCCCCTCTCCCTTCCCCCACCCCCGCGCACATTTCCCTCTCTTTTCTACTTCTGTGGCTTGGGACCGCTTCCAAGCTGCAACCGGCTCATACCTGCAAGAGGTGGAAACGCAGTGGTAAAGTCCCTTCCAGCTGCCTAGGTCCAGATTTAGTGCCCTCCTCGCCGCACCAGGAGAGAAGGCAGCCCGCTACCCAGAGCAGCACAGCCCCGGTGCAGAGGAGCCACAGACTACTCGAATCTTCCATCCCCCCTCCCCAGGGCCAGGTGACGAGACAGTCTGACAACAGCGGAGCCAAGCCATGGGCGTTAAGTCCTCGGAGGAGAACGGTAAGAGCTGGGTGCAGATTTTCCTGAGGGGGATCTCTGAGGGCGGACGGAAACAGTAACAGTTTCATTTCCCCATTTTAAGGGAGCGGGGGATGGGAAGTGGGGGCGTCCAAGGAAGTTCAGTCCATCACAGGACAAAAAACAGGATGAGCACCACCAGCAAGATAACAAAGAGGACGATAATTGCACACCACTGCCGTCGATCTGGAAGAAAAAGGAAGTGTCAGTTTTCCTACTTTAAAATGGAAGTTGGGGAGGAGAAGAGCTTTTTTTCACTGCGTGCTGCTAGGAGCCCAATTTCAGCTAAAGGAAAGCCATAAAAAGGCAAGGGCATAGCTCCACGACCAGCAGGGCAAACAGCATGTCCCTCTGCAGGCTCCCCGCTGCTCGAAAGGGCCCAGTTCCCACTGCAGCCCAAGGCTCAGTGAGGCCACACTGTTTTTCCTGCAGGATTTTGGCTGGGTTTTTTTTGACAGTTGTGTGAATATTGAGGTTTCTCCCTAGCCAAGTTCAAACAGATTTGATAAGCCAGTTCAAAAGCTATCGTGAGGAACAAGCAGAGCGCTGTTGTGTGTTGCTGCTAGTTTTGTTGTGCAACCTGTTTGCTAGAGAAACAAAAAAGGGGTCCAAAGAAAGGTTTCTAAAATAGCTCTGCTGGGAGTAGCTTGTCCCAGGTCTCCGTAAGAGGGTCCCCGGAATGAGGTTTCTCCTTCTCAGATGTCTCGGTACACCTCTCAGGCCACAGGAATGTTCTGCAGATGCTCAGTGTTGCATCGCCTCTTAGAGCTTTCTCAGGGAGCTCACTGCATCGTCAGACCAACTCTGCTCTTTAGAGACGGATGTATTGGAGCATCTTGCAGAGCAAAAGTAAATTAGCCTGTACTATCGCTCTAAGATGTCTGTCATTTCACTCTTGCAGTGAAAGGTTCCTCTGTCTGAATTAACGTTTGGTTTTGACTTCCCGGCCCCGGGAACCCCACGGCCTCTGGATAACAGCTCTTGTGCAATACGAACTGGAAAGGCAACCAAAGGAGTCACTTGTGCAGTGCAGACCTCTTCCCTAGAGAAGCTCTGTTTGCAGCAAGCTTTGAGGGGGCAATGCAAGGCTTCACGGCTGCTATCTGCCTGCGGCCACATCTGCGATGCCAAAGATAAAGCTTCTGTTAGACGGCAGTGCAACGGGG